GACAACCAGTTCTTCTTTGAACCAAACCGAGAACACTCACCAGTCTCTCACGGAAAAAATGAAAAGGAACAAATTTCGTCCGGAGAAGAACGAAATGTTCTTCTAAGTCAACCCTTCTATACTACATGATCAACAATAAGATAGACGCTTACCTACCAACATCGCAAATCGCCAAAGCTAGTCTAGCTCTGATGGAGGAGATGTGTCTATGGGAGAAACCAAAAGGTGGACGTAAACCTCTCGCCAAATAGGAAGCGAGCATCAACATGAACACCCCACAACTAGCCCCGTCGTGCCGCCGAGGGACACCTTTCACGCTGACCTCGCGAGCGAAGTGGTCGAAAGTCCGACTATCACCGGCGAAACCTGCCACCGTGTTAAAAAATTTAACAAATTTATCTAAAAGTGCGGGGTAGAGGTCATTTTTGGATGACGAACACGAGAAAAAATCATAGATTTCCAAAACACGTCTAGAGAAGTCAATGGCCAAAAGGCTCCAGTGTTCGCCGTCCTTGTGCACCGGTGCCAAGACGAGGTCATGAGACAGGAGGTCCACATCTTTAGCCCATCTGCTAACAGCTGCCGGACCTCGCAGAAGCAGTGTAGAGGCGAAGAAAGAGTTAAAGGTGTACGTCTTCTTGGTAGCAGCAGTCCGGCCGCAATCGTCAAGCAGCATCGCCATGTAGAAATTGACGACCTCATCGTTGAGCTCCCCGGATCCATCCACGAGTGCGACGATATCCTTGACGGATACCTGTAAATTGTGCGACGGCAAACGCGCGACGATGGCAGTGAGCGGCAACCGGGAGCAGATAACATCTTCAAGGACTGCTCTTCCATCTCGAGGAAACCCTGTTCAATACGGGCACAACAGCACACAACAAGCACAAAGGATGGGGCACTATGAGAAAATGTCGTCCTAGCGGCCATGGTCCGACGAACCTCTACTCTGTGGCCCAAAAAGTTCACGCATAACGTCACCCCTACTTCTGGACCTTCCACACACAATTGATTCTAAACTAGCACTGTCTTTCTTTATATCCCTGTAAGCCTCGAGAAAGAATTCCTTGCAGTCTTTTTCGGCAACACCCGGTGGGCCGCTGCCTCTGCAACGAGTCTAGCGCGAGGGCCCAATACGGGCACGACAACCCTTCTGGGCGGGCCCCGATGTTTAGTGTCCCCAGGAAACGAATCAGTGACATTGCGACGACCAGTGCCTCCCGCAACCAGGACTGACAACCTGGCGACGGCAGGCGGCTCCTGCGACATGTGTGTTTGTCCACGAGCTCGTCGACCTGTACAAGAAATAGCCACCCAGACAAGTCAGCAGGAGATCAACAACACAACTTCGCAAGAGCAACCAAGCAAACAGCACCTCACGAAGCACATCGTCACAATCTAGTTGGCGGCCGCCTATACACCTCCCCGAAATCGACGAAGCAAACAACACTTCACGAACGGGCTGACGAGCGAAAAGCAAGCAGAGGAAGTCAGTGCTCACCAGGCTTAGCTTCCACGTCACCAGAGCCCATCGATGGCAGTCCCAACACGATTGGCACCCCCGTGCGCGTCGACGCGGCGACGAGGTGCTCCAAACCCACAGGGAAACTTGACAGGTTCGAGATGTCGGCGTCGATGACCAGAGTCGGCAGAAATTCATCCCCATCCCGATGGCGGAAATCCTCCACTTCCACGACGGGTAATTTTAGTTCGTCTGTCTCCGGACAATGAGCGTAGACGTCCACAACATTGACAGGTCGGGTTTTCTCCATCGCCACTGTGTCGTATTGTGTTGTGCTCAAGGTCCCATGGATGTCCAACAACACCTCTCCCTCCCTTAACTTCTTGTCCTCGTGCGCTGTGTCTTTATCGTCGTCACTCAAATAGAGAAATCTATCTCCAACAACGTCAGAGGACTTCTTCAAAACGTCCTCTCCCATCACCTCGTCATGAAGGCCGGAGTACAAGGGGTCGTCCTATGCCGGCTAAACCAGTTGTTCCATCCCAACGTCGCTGAGTGTCGGATCAATCCGGTCGTCGGCGGAATCGTCCTTGTCCAAAGTCGTCAGAAGTCGACAACCGTCAACGCCTGCCAGTTGAAGTCCTTCGTCCATGTGTCTCGGATGAATCCGAATTACGGTCGTCTCCAAAGCTGCGTCAGGGAGGGACATGCTCACAGGGCCCTGGTTCGGATTCATCCGAGCCCCCGCAGTTTCCAACGGCCTATGTGTCCGAAATTGGATTCAACGGGGGTTTTGAGTTGAACGGTTCAACTCTCATTCAACTCCCATTGCAACTCCGCGTTAAACCGAGTTGAACGTGGTACAACTCGTCCCGCGGATTTGTTTTTTGCAGGTGAAACACAAGTGAAAAGAAAATCAAAAAATATGAGGGTGTAGATTTTTTTGCTCTCTACATCCCCATATTTTTATTTTTATTTTTTTAGCATTAAAATGATTTTAAAAAAATCAAAAACAAAACCAGACTCAAAACAGATGGATTTTTTTTTCTCTTTTTTTTGATTGATTGATTGATTGATTAATTGATTGGTGGGGGATGGGTCGCCCCTCCCACCCCCACCGAATCAGACACACACACACACACACACACACACACACACACACACACACACACAC